AAATTAGTGCAAATTTATCAGGTAAGTAATATACGTTTTAAATTGATAAAAATATAACTTAAGGTATTTAAATAGATTGTGTCGGAGCGTCAAACAGCCGAGGTGTTATAAAGCGAACCAATGTGCTTAAAGCGTCGGAAGTGAAGTCAATGTGGAATATTGGAAAAATAATCCAAACATTTGACTCTAAAGAGAAATGTATTTCCCTTGCCGAAGAACAAGGTTTTATTCTAAAAGGTAAAATTTGCCGTACGCATAAAATGCCAATGACGCTGGCATTAAATAAAAGTAGCACTGTTGRGGTGTTCCGATGCCGGAAAGGGGGTTTTCGGAACCGAACTGCGTTGGCAAGGTCGAGCGATCCCTGGTTCGACAACTTGAAAATACCACTTCCGCAGATATTTTATCTAATGTAAGCTATGCATCTCATTGGTCGCATGCGGAAGTGAGGAAAAACAGTTTTATCAGGGAACYAGTTTTATCTAGCGCTACTATATGTGACTGGTATAATTACTGCCGCGAAGCCGTAGTATTATACCAGGTTGACCATCAGGTAGCGGTAGGTAAAATTGGTGCCCCTGATAAAACTGTTCAAATAGATGAAAGCATGTTCGGGAAGAGAAAATACAACAAAGGTAATAATAAAAATATAATTATTTTTATGTAATTAACATATTTTTTCTTATTTTAGGGCGGAGAGTCGAGGGCCACTGGGTTCTTTGGATAGTTGAGGATGGGAGTGACGACCTTAGGCTGGAGGTATGTCCCGGCAATGTAAGGTTCATACCTTTGATAGAGAAGCACGTAGCAAAAGGCAGTAAAATATGTACTGATTGCTGGAAGACATACGACTGTCTGGTCAGTCACGGGTATGAGCACCGACGGGTTAATCACAGCGACCCCGATAATCCGTTCGTCGCCTAGGACGGGACCCACACTCAACGCATCGAGTCCAGTGACGCGTAATTAAGGACAATTATAATAATAGCGAAGATTTTTCTAATTTAATTTTTGAATATATTTGGAGAAAAAATTATTAGATGCAATTAAATATGTATATAAGCCTTAAAACTTTTTTTATTACAATGGAAAATTTATTTCATATGATATTTGTGTTTTAGGTTTGAGTTTTTATATTCATTTTTATTCGTTTGATAAATGTGTAATTATGGCAGCACTTATTATATGTCAACAAGGAATACTTTTGTTATTGTTCATGAAATGAAAATTGTGTAAAATATAAAATGCTTATTTTAAGCAAATAACTAAATAATTACTGTAAAAAAAAATATGTAGAAACAATGTAGTGAAGTGTAAGTGCGTAATATGAAATAAATAATTACTAGAAATCGAGAAATTGCAAGATAAAATTTGCAAAATTTCCAACTTTAAATGCAAATATCTCGAAAACTATAAGTTTGCAACAATTATATATTTTCTTAATCCAGAGCATCAGCCCTATCCAACCATACTACTTTTAATCTCGAAATCGTGGGATGGTAAACTAAAGTTTCCCCTTATTTTGAAATACCAGAGATATGAATAAAGATTTCCTTAGAACAAAACTATAACCTATTTTTTATTATTTAAAAGATAGAAACGTTTTTGTAGTAAAYTCAGTGATGTGTGAATAATTATGTCCGCCAGTGTATGTAAATCGAATTAACTCCACCTCAATAACTATTAGTCAGGGAAATATATATTTCCTTTAAGTGGAGATATCCCCGCTATTCTAAAACTAGGTTTTTTTTTTAATTTTAGGATTGATTGGCTCTCAAAGGAAGGATCTCCCGGCTGTCAAATTGAGAAATGTATTTTGCAAAATACCACAACTCTTAACCGRTTGGATTACAAGGACTTTGCAATTAGATTTTAGGATATATAAATTCATACATATATACCCTTCGTTGATTGTTTAATAAATATATTCAGAAAACAAATTTTGTTCGTTTATGAATCACTATATTTTCATCCAAATTGCAACTTAGTTATTTGTGACAACATATATCATCAAAGTTATCTAACAGCCTTGGAAACGGCCGTTCGCCTTCATACGTTCAAACGACTTTTGCGCATCGTAGTTCCTAGAAACCAAAAGAATTTGAATACTTGTATAAAAAATATCACCGAGAGTATTTTACTTGTAAAACTGAGCATAAGCCTCCTTTTTAGGGCTGTTAATCAGAAAGCTCCAGGCAACTGTTACGACTGCAGTTAGGGCAATAGCAACAGTCAAATTCTTCTTAATTGTTGCATTATGCAGGCCACGTAAAACCGGCTTAGTTGCACTTACAGTAGCAGGAGCATTGGCCATTGTAATTTCTGTAGGAAAAATGTTACATAACTCTAATTTATCAAAACAGTAATTCAAGTGATTTAATTGGTTATTTTTATAATTAACTCGAAAGTTCAAATATATTCACAGTTAAGAAGTAAAAACCATAACTTTTAACGTAATTATSGAAACTTATTGAATAATACTACCTTAGGAAATTAATGGAATATAATATTAASAATCGCGAACTAGAGATGGTAAAAYGTTTAAGCATAATGTAGTATGGATTCTTCAATAACACAGCACCGTGATCAGCAATTGACGATGTCGAGATAGCTTTATTACGATATGAACACTGCATGTCATTTATGTTTGGCAATTTCATTTCGAAAATTATTTTGTCATGATAACTTATAACAATTTGCCAATTTTGCCGTCAATTTACAATATTTGGCAATATTGGATGGCAAAATAAGGCATAAGGCCTGCTCAAAATAAACAAATTTTATTGCGTCAAATAGTAGTTGGGAGAGGGGGGGAGAGAACTGGTAAAGGCATGGATAATATGATACGAGACTCTTTGATTCGAGAGAGAGCTGTCAAAACTCGAATTTTTTATAACATTTGCCAATGATGCCACTGCTGAAAAATATTAGATTGGGTATTTAATAAATTATACAAAACACTAAATTAAACACTCTGAAAATACATACATATATAAATGCTAAAATGCGAAATCATTAATTAATTGAAATAAACATTTATTTTGAGAAAATATGTTCGCACAGTTCAACGAAATTTCATTTCACACTAACTTCGTCAGGTAATTATAGCAGTTTACTTCTAGCATCCCACTTTTTCTGAAATCAACTGTCAGAAATTCCCTGATCTCCATCGCTGTCAAATAATCAGGGAACGCGTTTGAGAGAAAAAGAGAGCCAATGCTAAAGTCTCCATTATCCCTGGTAAAGGATATTGAAATAGTTATGACAGAGTTAAGAGATGCGCAACTCATATCTCATTGGAAGTGAGAGAGCACTTGCTAAACGTCAAAACCTCCTGAACTTTGATCGAGTTTCTCCATATATTAAACGCCCTCTGTATCGTCATTTTTTATTGTTACAAATGTTTGTTCTTTTAATTTTTTAAATTATTTTGTCCGATCTGGCCGTGATGGAAAATGTTACAAGAAACGTTAATTTTTTATACGCTCTCACAATGGAACAAGTTGGGTGTCTCTTTATCCCTAACACAGATATACAATTAGCAACAGAACCATAAGATTTTCAAAAATTTTACAAGACTAATACACCATTTGCGAAATTTGAATACAGAGATTAGTGCAAGTGATTAACTTTWGGTTTTATTTTGAATATGTTCATACAAATAAATGTCGAAAATAACAAATTTAAGGCTGCTTTCTCGGTTAGGTTAACAATATTTGTAAGTTCTATTTAAAAAACGCAAATTTATTGAATACCTGTAAAATATGGTTTTTTATTGTCATAGCAAAATTTTTTTCTGAGTTTCCATACAAACTAATGTATGTTTTGTCAGTTAAATAATAATTTTAATGCAATTTCAGTAAYATATGGTTGTTTTTTTTTAAATATATACTTAAAATGTATTTCCTGATAAGCAACTAGTGTTTCCCCAAAGGACCAACCAATAAAACACCCTGTAAAATCTAAAAGAGCAATTGTTAAAATTTTTTTTTTTTGATTTTAATGAATCGGAGTTATTAGGCTTTTAAGGGTTAAGGGCAAAACGTCAATTATACATATGTATACATGTTCACACTTTCAGAGAAGAGTTTGAATATCCGCACTAGGCGATTTGGTTGTTATAGTTTTAGTGCATAGTTTAGTTTAATTTAGTTTATACCATGTTCGGACCGACAATGAAAACATGTTTTCGTGGGAAAAACTGATTTTCTCCTTAAAAGTTGTGTTTTCGTCCATGTCAAATATATCAAAAGAAAACACATTAGAGGGATTCTCTTGCTCTTGCAAACCCCTTGCACGGTGCACGAGTTGCAGAACAACAAACAATGCAGAAGGTGTGAGAATTCACAATAGCCATGCACAATAGATTGACCGAATCAGATGTTTATATATCATTAGATTCTGCAATGGGTGCTCTCGTGCCCTTGTATATTGCGGTATAGAATTTTTGCATTCTGCAATCTTGCAAGAAAACCACTTTTCCATGAAAACTACTTGAAAATKTGCACTCCATTGCCGGTCTTTACTTGTCACTTGATATTTCTTTACATTCCTTATACATATACAGCTGTCACTTGATATTGTCATATTAGGGGGATTCTCTTCCTCTTGCAAAACCCTTGGACGGTGCACGAATTGCAGACTTTTCCCCTTGGTGCTAGACACAACAACAAACAAACGCAGAAAATTATTTGCAATGGCTGTAAAATATGTCAGTCCAAGCCCATGTTTGTTTTCATGCAATGACACGTAAAAATATAATTGAAACCCTGTGCTTGCTATCAATTTAGATAAAGGCATATTTTATAATTTCTATAAGGGCTTCTCCCTTACTCATTGAATTGTGACAAAACAAAATGAGTGGTTTTCACGGGCCATTATTAAGGCATCCAAAACCTACCATTCTCGTTGCTCAAAATGTAAACAAACAATTAAATTTGTGAGTTGTCAGTGAAAACTCATCGAAAACACATATTGTTGGTCCGAAAGACTTGGATTCCACAACCCACAAATGTGTTTTCACGATGTTTTCAATGTCGGTCCGAACATAGTATTAGGAGTACGTACTATTTAACCGATTCAACTCCTTAATGTGATGTTAATGTTTTTATATATACTTTATACGGTCTCCGACATCTAACAAAAATTTGGTGAAAAGACTCTCTCACGAATATTATAAGAAATCCTAATGACAGAGTGAAAATTTCTTAAATCGAATGATAACCCCGTTCACTCAATATATAACGCTAATGTTACAAATTACTAAAAAAATAATTAATAACTAAATATAATATGCCAAAGGCATTAAATTTAACCCCCGGATGCTATAAGTGGACTTTTTACMGTTAGGTAAAATCACATATCTAAGGACTGAACCGTTTGCAACCAAATTTGTGTATGTGGCAATCACCTAATAATTTTACATTTTAATGTGAAAATATGCGAAATCATACAACWCGCCTACTTCCGATATAACACAATTTCAAATACCATCTGACTTTCCTGACAATAGAATGTGTTTGTTTCAAAAATGTGTTGAATCATGTCAATGCTTCCCTTGGCTCCCATATAACTAATWCTACATAACAATATTCAAACTTCCAAGTAGTTTTATACCGCATATTTCGGCCATCATGTTAGTCATCTCAATGAAAATTAGAGATCATGTTTTACTGATAACAGTGTATCTTTGTGCCTAAACTTAATTAAAATGGGCGAACACTTGAACCATATATATAGGCACCTGAAGTTACTTCCCTAGCTTTAATCCTTGCAAGTTGCAAGAGTATRAATCGGTTATACCCGAACATATGTAGCTCGTCCTTACTTGTGATTTTTTACGTTTTGGTCGTCATTTCATTTTTATAATTTAATCAAAGTTAGTTTTTTTCGATCTATGTACATACATATATACRGGTACTGTAGAACAGGTGTAGGAACGTCTTAGATTAAGTTTTGTGGAATGCTCAGAAAGAACTAAGTGGAGACGAATTGCAAATTTGACAGAACCAAATGTGTTCGCTGCTAATGACTTTTAACAAAGCCTTCATTTGCATTAAAATTGGCCTGCGCTTTTTAACCTATGATAACATTAAGAAAAAAACAGAAAAGTTAGCCTAAGAAAACAATAATTTCAGCGTTCAGCGGATTTTAAAATTGTAAACCAATAAAATTAACATTATTATGAAAAAGGGACACTGATGGCAGTTCTCAGACTAGGGAATATAAAAAATTRTTTGATGAAAATAATTTGGAAGACTGCAAATTGTAAATTAATTATAAGGTCATATGTTCCTCTAAACCTGATCACAAAATAGAATAAGTTAAGGAGGGCTAAGGTCGGGTATAACCGAACATTTGGTACTCTTGCACTGCCTGGAAAAAAACCTTAAGGTGTTGTCATCCATTTAAGACAAGAGAATGCTATATTTTTAAACAGAGATTTTTCTGAATTTCATGCTAGGGCTAAACATAAATATTTCACACTTAACCAGTTCATAATGGACTGCGACTGTCCACTAAAGCTGACCACCAGGAAACAAACCTGTTCTTTCTCACAGACTCAATTTAGTGGGCACTGGTCACCCCTTCGACCTGTAAGTCACCAGGGACAGACGGCATCTTACCAGCACTTTTGCAACAAGGTATGCAAGATCTCTTGCTCCAAAATTCCAAAATTCGCTGGCAATATGCGGCATTCGCCCCGCGCAAGTGTCATCAAGGCACTAGAAAAAAGAACGTGGCGTTTCCAGTATGCTGTGAGCGTACTATGTAGTAGGTGAAACTACTGTGGTGGAGAGAAAGATTCGTCTTGGTACTGCGTGGGACTACCCTCTACTATGTAGCCTAGTAGTAGACGAGCACTTTAAAATGCTCATAAGCAATGAGTTTCTTTGTCAGGGGTAGATTATAAGGCTGCAAGCCAAGTGTCATCAGGCTATATACCATGACTATAAGGCCTATTTGTACTTATGGAGCTTAGTGTTTGATAGGTCTTCAACTATCGAAGCTGCGAACACTGAGTTGCGTTTGCGCTTCTGGAGCAATGTGCATTTGCCCAACCATAGCACTTGAAATCAAGCCGAAGTTCCGTGCACCACTCCATTTAGTGATCAAACAGGCAGTGATGCATACCATGCTGCTTACGGAAGCAGAAGGGTATATAAAGGGATGATAATTTCGTCCTCTGACTCTTATTCTTAGAGACGGTGTTAAGAAGAGAGGAAACTTTACAAGTAAGTCGTATATCTCGGCCTCAAAGGGCCTCAAATCTTGCGCAGAACCTTGGTCTCGAAAACTCGTAACGCCGACTCATCAGTTGTTGTCATCGTCAATGCCTCTGCACCATATAGCAGGACGGGGTTGATGAGTGACTTGTAGAGTTTGGTTTTTGTTCGCCAAGAGAGTACTTTATTTTTCAATTGTGTACTTAATCCTAAGTAGCACTTGTTTGCAAGAGTTATTCTAAGTTGGGATTCAAGGCTGACGTTATTGGTAGTGTTAATACAGGTTCCAAGATGGATGAAATTATCTACAACTTCGAAGTTATGACTGACAACAGTAACGTTGGAACCAAGTCGCGAACGTCGACGGT